GGATTTACCCAGGGGCCGACTCCATGTGCTCCACTGAGGGTGGCGCATCATCCAATGTTAGAGGGGGACATCGTGTCAAGGGCAAAGGCTCGGGTTCAGATGTCGACCCGGAGGATGAGTTCATAGGTCGCCATACTCATGTGGAGGTCAGAATGGAAGGATATGATCTTCACATAGTTATTTCGGGGGACTACAATTTGTTGTTGAACTGCGACCAAATGGTATCTGTTTTAGCCTCTCTATGTGTTACCCCTGAGAGCGAGGTGCTTAGGGCACTGAGTGACATGGAGTTGTCTCAGAACGTTGTCGGCATGGCCTTGCGGGTAGGTGTCCTTTTCCTTTTCATCGTTGGTCTTGCTTTTGTGATTGCCGACTTGTGTTTTTGTCTCTAACTTCTTCTTTTTTTGTGTTAGACCCTTATCATGGAGACCGAGCACGAGCGTTGGGAAAGGAAGAGGATGGCTATTTACGGGAAGATGTCTTCCAAATACCAACGGTATCGTGCTAAGCATCACACAATGGCCGATATTTATAATCAGGACCCCGATTTTTAGTTGTTCCGTGAAGGACTCAAACAGGGGGAGGACACACTAGCGCGCAAGGTCGAGGAGCTAAGGGAGTGAGATGAGGAGCTTATGAAGGTTGTTGCCCGCAACAGTGAACTCGAGGCCTCCTTTAAGGTGAAGGAGTATGAGCTTGAGTTAAGTAGGGAGGTGATGGCCGAGAATGCTGATTTACAAGCAAAGAGGGCTAGTTTGGCCGCCGAATTGGGTACGAAGAAGGTAGAGATTGAGGGGCTTAAGGGCGAACTGAACGTCGGTGCTGATAAGCTGGCGGTGGTTATTTCTGGAACAGCGGCCTTGGAAGATACCCTTCGTATTTATAGGTTGGATCTGACCGAGGAGAAGGAGGCCTCGAGGCTTAAGGTCACAGGTCTTGAAGGGCGTGTTAAGGAGTTGGAGGAGGAGCTAACTTTATTGAATGGACAAGTGGCCTCGTTGAGAGCGGAGGATGCAAGTCGACGCTCACAACCTTCTACATCTCGTGCTCTGGCCAATCCGGTCGTCCCTCATTTCTTATATGAGTTGTGGTCCATGCTCAGGCTCGACTTGACGTGTACAAGGCTTTTTATACCGAGGGGAGGGTAACTGAAGCAGAGCTTCAGGTCCTACATACCGAATCTCGGGCAGCTCGGGAGGCGTGTGGGTACGACCCTCTTACTCCTGACGGGAATGACATCAATTCCGATGATGCGAATCCTCTTGCTTCTGACTCTTGGTACGAAGATGCGTACCCAATAGGGTATAATATGTAACCTTTTGTTTGTACTTACTTTTTGTTTTGGGACTTTTGTAAGGGGCATTTTTGAGCCCGTTATAAAGATAGGTGTAACATTTTGATGTAATGTAGAATTTGTTTTATCGATTTAGTGATGATCTTTGCAATGCCTGTTAAGTCGATTTAGCTTTCGGGTGAGGTCGATTCCTTTTTCTTTTGGCGATGGCTTTAGTCTCTGGTATGCTATTTTCGAAATGATCGTCAAAAAGGGATTCCATCGTCGTTCGAACGAGGTTGAACTCATATCTTCATTGATGGTCTTGGCCATTGGGATGTTGCTTCGAACTGTTATCGAAGTTGGATCCTGTCGTAGTTCGAACAAGGTCGAACTCATATTTTCTTCAATGGCATTGGCCATTGGGATGTTGCTTTGAACTGTCGTTGAAGTAGGATCCCGTCGTAGTTCAAACAAGGTCGAACTCATATTTTTGTCAATGGCCTTGGCCATTGGAATGTTGCTTCGAACTGTCATCGAAGTAGGATCCCGTCGTAGTTCGAACGAGGTCGAACTCATATTTTCGTCGATGGCCTTGCCCATTGGGATGTTGCTTCGAACTGTCATCGAAGTAGGATCTCATCGTAGTTTGAACGAGGTCGAACTCATATTTTCGTCGATGGCCTTGGCCATTGGGATGTTGCTTTGAACTGTCGTCGAAGTAGGATGTCGTCGTAGTTCGAACGAGGTCGAACTCATATTTTCGTCGATGGCCTTGGCCATTGGGTTGTTTCTTCGAACTGCCGTCGAAATAGGATCCCATCGTAGTTCGAACGAGGTCGAACTCATATTTTCGTCGACAGGCCTTGGCCATTGGGATGTTGCTTCGAACTGTCGTCGAAGTAGGATCCCATCATAGTTCAGACAAGGTTGCACTCATATTTTCGTCGATGGCCTTGGCCATTAGGATGTTCACATTGAAGGTTTGATCATATTCCCGTAGGAAAATATATGGCTTTATTCATACAATGACGATTTAATTATATTCTTGTAAGAATCACATGTCGATGTCGACTCTGTAAAGACAATGAAGATTTGATTATCTATATCTAGTGCCTTCATTACTCGGTCTAGAGAACACGTCGACGGGCGGGGTAATGAACAATACTTTGAACCTCGAGACGTCACCCTTGTCGCCTCATTAAAAACCTCACCGAGAAAATCCGATTGGGATAAAACTCGGATGAGGGAAAGAGAGTACGACTTAGATGGTGCCTCCTTTTAGAAGTGGAAGTATTTGAGATGGGCAACATTCCAGTTGTTTTGGAGTAGTTTTCCTTCCATTGTCTCTAACTGGAACGCTACTTTGTTTGCTGTCGCCGTGATTTTGTATGGTCCGTCCCAGTTTGTTCCCAGTTTTCCCTCATTAGGGTCTTTCGCTGCTTATGTTCTAGCTTTAAGGACGTAGTCTCCGACCTTGAGCAGTCGCACTTTGGCCTTTTTGTTGTAATACCTTTCTACTTGTTGCTTTTGGGCTATCATTCTTATGTGGGCCATATCTCTTCGTTCTTCGACTTCATCCAGATATTGTAGGCTACTTTTTTGTCATTGTTTGGTCCGTTCTCATTGGTGTATCTCAAGCTAAGCTCCCCGACCTCGACGGGTATAACTACATCAATCCCATAGACTAGTGAATATGGCATCTTGCCTGTGCTGGTTTTTGGTGTAGTGAGGTATGCCCATAGTACTCTAGTAGTAGTTTAGGCCATAGCCATTTGGTGTCCTCGAGCTTCTTTTTCAATATATTCAATATTACTTTATTGGAGGATTCGGCTTGACCATTGCCGGTGGAATGATATGGCGTAGAGAGTATTCGTTTGATGTGCCATTTTTCGAAAAACTTGATCATTTTCTTTCCGACAATCTGAGGTCCATTGTCACAGCTAATTTCTTTGGGGATGCCAAAACGGCATATTATATTTTTCCATATGAACGCGATGACCTCTTGCTCGCGTATCTGAGTGTATGCACCTGCTTCCACCTATTTAGAAAAGTAATCATTTAAAACCAAAAGGAAACGTACTTTACCTCATCCTGCTGGGAGGGGTCCGACAATATCCATCCCCCACTTTATGAATGGCCATGGCGAAGTGACGGAATGAAGGAGTTCCCCTGCTTGGTGTATCATAGGGGCATACTTTTGACACTGTTCACACTTCTTGACGTAGTTTGCAGCTTTTTTTTTTCATGGTGGGCCATTAGTATCCGGCTCAGATGAGGCATCGGACGAGGGTGCGGTTTCCCGTGTGGGCGCCGCAGTGCCCCTCATGTACTTTTTTCAATACTCGCCTTGTTTGATTTGGCCCAAGACATTTGGCCAGGGGCCGCCGAATGTTCTCTTGTAGAGATCACAGTTTACAAGGCTGTATCTGGTTGCCTGTATTCAAAGCTTTTTTGGCTTCTTTCTTATCTTGTGGGAGAATTACATCCTACAAATATGTTATGAGGCGGTTGCGTCAGTCCCAAGTTAGGTTTATAGAATGTACCTCGACTTGGTCTATTGCGGAATGGAGAAGGGTTACCAAGTTTTCCTTGTTGATATTTTTGGTGGATGCCGCTAGCTTGGCGAGGCTGTCTGCTTCGATATTTTGCGCCCTGGGTATTTGGTCGAGGCGGCATTCATCGAACTCTGGAAGCAGATTGTGAATTTCTGACTGGTACTTTTGTAGTCTCTGTTCTTTGATTTGGAAAGTCCCGTGACTTGGTTCACCACGAGTTAAGAGTCGTAGTGGAGGACGAGTTGTCGAGCACCATATTTGAGGGCTAATTTCAATCCTACAATCACAGATTCATACTCGGCCTCGTTATTAGTCATCTCGGGGCATCGTATGGACTGGCGAATTACTTCGCCCGTAGGAAACTTAAGGACGAGTCCCAGTCCTGATACCAATGCGTTAGATGCGCCGTCAGTGTATAGGACCCAGAGGTCGGAATGAGCAGAAGCGCGGAGTACCTCTTGCTCTACTTCAGGCAATATTTCCACGCTGAAATCAGTGACCAAATCGGCGAGCACCTACGACTTAATGACATTTCGTGGTTGGTATGTTATGTCATGCTCGCTTAATTCTATGTCCCCTTTGGCCAGTCTACCCGATAATTCAGGTTTGTGTAGGATGCCCCTCAGGGGGAAGGTTGTCACCACTTTTATAGGGTGACATTGAAAATATGGTCTAAGCTTTCGTGAAGCTATGACTAATGCCAAAGCTAGTTTTTCAAGGTGAGGGTACCTTGTTTTAGCATCAATTAAGGTTTTGCTGATATAGTAAATCGAAGATTGCGTACCTTTGTTTTCGCGGATCAAGACTGCACTTATCGCGACTTCAGAGACTGCTAGGTATACTAGTAGGCATTCACCCGGGTCTGCCTTGACGAGTAATGGTGGCGAGGATAGATACGCTTTTAGCTTCCTCAAGGCATCGACGCATTCTACATTTCATTGCAGTCCGTGGTCTTTCCTTAGCACATTGAAAAATTTATGGCATCTGTCTGATGATCGTGAAATGAATCTTGATAGGGCGGCTATTCGTCCTGTTAATTTCTGCACCTACTTCTTGCTGGTCAATATCTCTAGTATTCCTTCGGTGGCCCTAATCTGATCCGAGTTGACCTCGATACCCCTTTGTGACACTAGAAAACCAAGGAACTTTCCTGAAGTTATGCCGAAGGCTCATTTTTCGGGATTTAGCTTCATCCCGTATTGTTTGAATATCTCGAAAGCTTCCTTCAGATGGTCAATGTGATCCTCCTTCTTTTTCGACTTTACTAGCATGTCATCGATGTAGACCTCCATAGTCCTACAAAGTTGTTCTTTGAACATCTTGGTGACTAGCCTTTGATACGTCGCCCCTGCATTCTTGAGACCGAACGACATTACATTGTAGTAGTACGTTCCTTGGTGAGTGATGAAAGTGCTCTTTTCTTGGTCTTCTCCAGCCACTAGAATTTGGTTGTAACCAGAGTAGGCGTCTAAGAAGCTCAGTAGTCCGTGTCCCGCCGTTACGTCGATGAGCTGGTCGATGTGTGGTAATGAAAATGAATCTTTTAGGCATGTTTTGTTTAAGTCGGTGAAGTCGACACATATCCGCCATTTCCTGTTCTTCTTTTTGACCATGACCACGTTGGCGACCCATTGGGGATATTTTGACTCTCGGATGGAACCATTAGCGAGTAATTTATCAACCTCTTCGCTGACCGCCTCATTGATGGCGGCATTGAACTTTCTCCTCATTTATCGTACTGGCAGGTAAAGAGGATCGACATTCAGCCTGTATGTGGTGATATCCCTTTGGATTCCTGGCATATCTGAATGCGAAAAGGCAAACAAATCGGAATTGTTAGTTAAAAACTCACGATATTTACCTGGTTCTGAGAGTTTATATCCGATATAAGCCTTTTTCATGTTATCGGTGTTGTCCAGTTGGACGGGGTAGAGGTCTTCTACGATTTCCTTGCAAGCTTCTACGACATCCGGGTCTTTGATGGCCTCCATTTGTACGTCGGGTTTGGTTCCCGATATGGCTAATTGTTATGCTTCCGCACTTGACCCTTTTAGTTGTTTAGTGTGTGTGCAATCTTGGGCGATCTGGTAGCATTCTTGGGCGGTGCATTGCTCACCTCGGATGCTGAATATCCCCCATGGGGTGGGAAATTTGATTACTTAATAGAAACTTGACGGGATAGCTCGCATGGCGTGTATCCATGGACTCCCTATAATGGTGTTGTAGGCTATTTCCTGGTTCATAACGTGGAACATCGTCTCTATGGTGACTCCTCCTGCCTGGATCTTTAGCACTATCTCTCCAGAGGTTCGTTCCACTGCATTATTAAAACCCGTCAGTGTTGGTATTATTTTATCCTCGAGCCTCATCTGCATGAGAACTCGAGGGTGAATAATACATGCGTCGCTTCCGTCATCCACCATTATTCTCTTTATGTCGGTGTCCGCAATGTGTAAAGTTATAACCAAAGCATCATAGTGAGGGAAAGACAAACCGTTGGTATCCGACTTATCGAAGATGATACTGTCTTCGAGGTCGTCATACTGTTCGTGGGCGACTGTCCATTTGAGTTTGTGTGTGGTGGTGAATTTCACATGGTTGATTATAGTATCGTCGCCGCCACCAATGATCATCTGTATGGTACGAGCTGGTGATGGTGGTTTTGGAGGCCCCTACGGTTAATCACATTCACGAGCGAAGTTGGCCCGTCCTCGGTCACTCAAAAGTTCTTTCAGGTATCCCTGGTTTAAAATTCTTACCACTTCATGTCGCAGACCTATGCAGTCCTCGGTCTTGTGTCCCCTTTCCTGGTGGAATTCACACAAAACGTTTGATCTCTTGGTGCTCGGATCCGATTGTATCTTTTGTGGCCACTACACTTTTGTGCCGAGCTTTTCCAGTGCGCACACTATTTCTAAAGGAGAAACACAAAAGTTATGAGCAGATAACAGTGGAGGCATACCTCTTTCGCTTTGGGGTGATGCGATGTGTCGAGGTGCGACATCTGTATGTCGTGGAGGAGGTGGGCTGGATGTTCGGACATAGGACTGGTGCCTTTCTTGGTTGAACCGTGGCGCTGATCCTTTCGGCCGTCGTTGCGGCGATCTCTCCTTGTCTCGGTTTAGACCGAAGTTAGGTTCTGCATCGGGCCATTGAGGTCATCCTCATCTGCCCTTACTTCGGCGCAATAGGCGTTATGGATCTCTTCCCACGTGGTGGTGGGGGGGTACTTCATGAGTCTACTTAGCAGCTTCTTGGTCGCTTTTGACCCGTTTCTGCTCAACCCATTTTGAAAGGCTGCTACCGCTATCCCTCCTGACACATTCGGTAGGCTCATCCTTACCCTATTGAATCGGGCTAGGAAATCCCGAAGTCCATCGCCTGTCGTTTTGCCTAACGGCGAAGATATCATTTACCTTGGCCTCTGCCTTTTTTGCTCCCATGAGAGCGGTGATGAACTTATTTGCCATTTCTTCGAACGTTGATATCGATCGTTCTGGTAGTTGGGAGTACCACGTTAATGCTCCTCCTGTCAGAGTTTCGCCGAACTTTTTCAGCAGTACTGACGACACCTGTTCTTTTGATAGATTGTTACCTTTTACTGCAGTAACGTAATAGATTAAGTGATCCTCCGGATCCATGGTGCCATCATATATTTTCAGATATGGCAGCATTTTAAAGGTTTATGGAATAGAGTGAGGGGTTGCCCCTTCATTGTATGGTTGTTCGACGAATCGTCCCACGTCACGTTTTGGTAGCAAATTCAGAGCGCCCGGTATTTTATCAACCCTTTCCTGATGCTCTTTCATCTGGTCGCGGAGTGTTTTGTTCTCATTTTCCATCTCTTCCATTTTCTTTAAGATGGCTGCAAGTGCACCGTTGCCCGTATCAATGACAGTACGGGTGTTACCTGTTCGTGTAGTTTCTGGCTCATCGGCGACAGCTGCGATTTTTGCGGGTTAGATATCCGTCTGAACGGGTTTCTCGAGTATGTTGCTCAAGGTGTTTGTCAATCATTCTTCTAACAGCCTCTTCACGGCCGGTGGTGCTTCTCCTACTGCAGATATTGAGGTGTGAGACAGTTAAACCCTCGTGCGGGGGAGGGGGGGAGGGTGAGATATCCCCCTCATGTGTAGCACTTGGTGTTACGTTTTCGTTGTCTTCTCCACTGGCCTCATTGAGGGAATTCATGAGGTTGTTCGTGACACCTACTATTTCCTTTAGCCTTGCTTCTCCCTTTCCCGCCATTGTTGGCCTTAGTGAGACTAAAAAAAGTGATTATTTCTTTCAAGAATCTAGACGAAACTAAGGTCTCAGCTATAGAAATCCCCACAGACGGCGTCAAATTATTTGACTCAAAGGATATCGAAACCTTTTTGGACAAATCAATCAAAAAAGATGAAGGGGTAAATCTTAGCTAAGTGTAATAATAAGGATACAGATAGATGAGTTGGATACAGATAATAAGGATTCCTTATCCCGTTTAGACTAAAAGAAAAACCCTCAGCAATAATCTTCTCGATTCTTTATGTAATCAAGTTTACAGTAGGTATCATGGATTAACCAAAAGTCTCCCTTTACAAAGTTGTTTCATGCTATCTGTGAGCACGTGATTTTTGTTTTTGCGACAATCACTCCAAAAAGAAACGAAAATAATAGCAATTGATCTTGCTGTTTTTTTTATTTTTACGTGGTACGTTGTTAATTATTTATGATTCATTTTATTTTTATTAAAACAAATACAAAAAAAATGTGTATCGTGTGTAGTTGAACCGTAAGTGGTTTTTTAAAAGGAAAATCGTAAAAAATAAACGTCTTTTATTCTATTGTTTTTGTTGTCATTAAGTGATTTTATTTTAATTAAATGTCAATGTGAGTGATAATTGTTGTTTTGAGTATTAATTAATATTGGTATAATTTTATTAGGATTTTTTTTTTAAGTTATAAGAAGAAAAACATTGGATTTGGGCCATAATTTCAAATGAAATCAGGCCCAAACTCATGTAAATGACCCAGTCCAACCAGGCTTTCTGCGGGATGCCCCAAACGACGCCGTATAGGCGTCATCCTTTTGAGTCATTGATTGGTTCAGGGGAACGGCCCAGATCAGACCAGTCCTTTACCCAAACGACGCCGTATACGGCCGTCTAATCTCAGTCGTTCAAGCCGGGCTGATCTAACAGCCCTCGTTCCATCTCCTTTACCCATTATCAAACCCGACCCAATGAAACCCAACCTAATCCACCAGTATGAAAGCAAACGACGTCGTTTCACTTAAACCTCCAGATTCAGGCCGTTGATCTCGATTGATCTAACGGCTGAGATCAGGCCATCCACCCCATATATAAGCTTTCCACCCGTACCCCACCCTCTATCCAAATACCCCTCCTTCGTCCTCATCCCTTCCAATAGACCCAACCCCGGAACCCTAAAGCCGCCCCCTTTCCCCTCACCAAAAACCCGGCGGCATGGACGCCGGTGACCCCCACCTTAACACCCTAGGACCACCTTGACACCCTAAACATAGATCTGCAAACCA